ATAAATATATAAACTATGTTACATGCGTTATATGCGTCTCTAATTATTTTTCCCTAGCAAATTTCAATTGAACCTAAAGCTGCCACGTCAGTTTAATTGGTATGCTAATTGATTGACAACTAAGCAAGGTTACTTTTTAATTAATACAAACTTGAGGTTACATCTTTTCAAATGTTTCTCAATTAATATATAGGGGATATCATGGCTTCCCATATAAAGGACAAATATAACACATCACACGAATATTATTGGTTACTATATGTCTTTTGTTGGGGTTCATTAAAACATAAGAGTAAATAAAATATGTCATCTTTTTTGATATGCAACAAAACACCATTTAACTGAATTTTCTTTTACAACACCTTAGACGAATATGTTAACTATATATACGAAGTACGAACACGATAATTTTCGGCAGCTTTATATCTATATTGAAAGGTTTTGACAGGCAATCATTGATTATTCATTTGTGTAAACTCACTAAAAGATATATCAGATTCAAAAATCTTCTAATTCTTGAGTCTGCACACATGAATGTCTTTTGTGTGCAAAGTATGATGATTTCGAAGGTGTGGATAGGCAAATATATACGGATAGTGCGGTAAACAATTGACAGCGAATTGTGTTTTCAATTTATGAATTATTTGTATATACAAATAATTAGTATGTACATATGGCACACATTGCAATGTTTGTAAATATTATCTAGAAGACATTTTAGCGGATAAGACACCGAACATTTAATGAAATTGGAACTCATTGTAGGATGGACTATTGGGTGAGTGCAGACAAGCGTTTACCGTTAGCCGTAGCCATTGACTTCGACGTAATCGGCATAAATTCATTGGTAAAAGATTGGTTTTTTTTTTTTTTCAATTTCGTTACCATGCCCGGCTCACATATACGTTCTCAATGATAAACAGTATACGTCATTCAACTCTTTTTTATATATTTTCAAATACATATATTTATATTAGTTTGAGGAACGTACGAAAACAAAAGATTGGACTTTTGGGCAGAGTTTTTTACCAATCAATGTTCCTATAATAGGGATTTGTCAATAATGGGATCCGTACATTTCATCAATCAAGGATGAATCACTCTGGCATCATGATTCGTAACTTAAGTTGATAACTTGATAATAAGTGTTACTGAATCTGTCAGGTGGCCAATAGCTGTCATCTTCACATTTTAGCCTAATTTGTTCAATATATATCTGATTAAGCCTAACCATGTATATCTTTTTTTTTTTTTGTAACACATGCGATTATATTAAATCTAAAACGAGTTTAAGCGATTACATCCGGAGCTATACTCAACGGTAAAAAGATAGTAACCGGAGGGATTCTCGACGGTTTGATGAACATCATAAAACAGAACATTAAAACAAGGGATAAACAAAGCTAACGAGAGAGTCTCGCTCGACAACTGGAGAACCGTGGGAAGCAGCTGATGTGTCCCTGAATAGGTTACTACCACGAGCATGAAATAGTCGGGATCGACGTTGATTAAACCAAACGGCAAAGTTTGGAAGGAGGTGGAACGAGCATGACCAGCTCTAGCTTCGACTTCGAAGCTCTCCGAAGAGATCCTAGGTGAATCTCAACAGAAACGAAGAGTATAAAGGCGCTGGATTTCCTGGATTTTACGCTGACGACCAAATAGAAGAGACCTTGAAACCGAATTGCGCCAGCTACAAAATCAGAGATAATGCAAATTCTACTGACCTGTGATCCCACCATGTATATCTAACAATCCTTTTTATCCTTTCTGGGGGTTCTAACTTCTAAGATAGGATTTGCCAGTCTTAACATCTTTAGATTCAAGTATCTCTTGTATCACAATGCCATTTGTATAAAATGAATTCACATTTTGACAAAAAAGTGTTATCTTAGATAAATAATTTATCTTTTTTGCTTATAATATAAAGAATTCAGTATTAATTTCATCTAGCTAATCGACGACGACAAGGGGTAATACTTGTATCGTATATTAACGTATAGAATCATGTATACACTCACAAAATATATTTGACATATGTGTTGTTGTAAGATCCTACAAAGATATAAATGGTGATGTTAGCTAATAGAAATGATGCTGGCGTTTGATATACACCGTCGAAGATGATATTATTTATGATACACTGTAGAAGATGCTGGTTTAATGATCAATATACAGTTGAGATTTTTATATGTAGTGAATATTTTTGATCAAAAATATATTGACTAATGGTTAAGCAGCTGCATGATTCTAATTGTTAGTTTTGCTCTTAAAGAAAGTCAAAGAGATAAAGAAATCATGATTCAAAACCAGTAAGCTTCATCTTCATGGGAATGTTCCTTAAGTCTCATTTAGATTGATCACTGGTTTTATAATCGGTTTAGTACGTTTAAGCTATTTATTACCTACCGCTCAAGCGTGGTTGTAAGTTTGTAATTCAAGTCTTCCCTCATTTTGTAAAAATGTATATGGTGCTAAGAAAATAAAGAAATCTATAAACCTGTCGTAGATTAATCACTAGAGAATTAGTATTTTGGCAATGTTAGTGATAAAGAACCGCCGCATGAATAACACGTGGCCAATCTGGATCCACTTGGTTAACTATAAAATTAAATACAACTATGAATACGCTATGTGTATCTTTAAACTGAAAAGATACAGAAAGAAATCTACAACATTTTGTTTCTCTAAACTAAGATTTTTCTTTATCGGTTTTAATAGAAAATTAGATTTTGATCCGTGCAACCGCACGGGTGTTTAATTTCTTATATATATATATATATAGATATTTGTTTTACATTATTAGTGGTATATATTTCAGTGTTAATTATATATTTAAATGTTTATATAAATATCTCAAATACAATAATTTTATAGTTTACATATCGTAATCAGTCAATTGTTTTAAACCGTCAATTGTATTTTTTATTTTTGATTATATATTTATCTTATTTAATTTGAATTTAATTTTAAAAAAAAATCAATATATGCAAGAAACTACATATTTTTTATTTTTTTATTTAATTACCATCACTTCAAATCCTATTGTACCTTTTAACGATTTTTTTAATGTGTATTCATTTTAGATAGTAGATTGTTGTATATATATATATATATATATATATATATATATATATATATATAACTTTAAGATATGTTAATTTGTAGAAATATATTATATAATTTATTAAGTTAACCCACTTTGCAAACATAATATATTATTTAAACATAAATATTTATTCTTTTGAAAACAAAACATATTAATATATCAGTTTAATATAATTTTATCATATTTAGTTCAGTTTTAAGATATGTTAATTTGTCGAGATATATTATATAATTTATTATGTTAACCCGCTTTGCAAACATAATATATTATTTAAACATAAATATTTATTATTTTGAAAATAAAATATATTAATATATCAATTTAATATACTTTTATCATATTTAGTTCAGTTTTATAATTATTTTATATTATAAATTATGATTATTGAATAAATAAATATGTGATATAATTTTTATTTCATTTTATAAACATTACCTGAATATATAGAAATGAAAAAATATTTTATTATTATTACAAAATTACTGAATATATTTACATAAAATTATAGAAATTGAGATTGTGGTAAAATCTTGTTCAACAAATTTGTTAGAAATAAAACTATATATATATGTGTGTGATTTTTTGATATGTATGTATATATTATAAGTACTTAAATACGAAATGGAACTAACTTTATTTTCAAAAAACTTTATTATATTTTTTCACTTTCTTAATTATTTTATTAATTGATTCTTTCCAAACAACTTGACGTGATTTTTTTTTTAAAAAAGGAAAAATTACCTATTTTAAATGATTTATTACATTTTTTATATTTTTCGTTCTTTCAAACTATTTCATTAGTTATATTTACCGTAATAATTAATCACTCGAAGTTATTTATTAAAAATATATTTACTATAACAATTATAAAAAAATCATACATGAAAGAAGTCATGAATTTATTTTAATAGTATAGATGAAGAAACCATATAAAGAGTTTACGGCAACAATAAATATGTGATCTCAAATTAACAGCTTTGATATATACTCACGAGAAACTGATGGTCACTTGATGAAAGTTCTTAATAAATCATGTGAATAGTAAGGGAAATAGATATTATTGCTGCAAGAATGATGGGGTGATATAATAAGCAGAAAGTAGTATTATAGAATAAATAAAACATGAATTTGAAGGGAAATAAATATTATTGCTGCAAGAATGATGGGAGTGATATAGTAAACATAAAATATTATTAAATAATAAATAAAACATGAATTTCTAGAGAAAAATCCATTTTTCTAGGGAAGGTCCAGTTTTAATTATAAAACATATAACATAACATTATGAAAAGCATAGCATTTTTTAATAGTACATATATGCTTTTTAAAATTAATGTTATAACTTATAAACTTAAAATTTCAGATTTTTCTCGAAAGAAACCAAGTTTTAGATTTGTGTAGTTGAAGAATTGAAAAAAAAACTAAGCTTTAGATTTCATAAAAAATTGAATAAAAACAATAAAAGTTGGTATCTACGTTGGTACCTTAATTAATCATTTGGTTATCTTAATCAAATCAAATTAGAGAAAAGTATAAGTAGCTAGATTGTAGGCAGATTTTGTTTAGATATTTAAGCTTTTATAGGTAGAATATATATGGAAAATGATAGAATCATTAATGTGATAATTTTCTAGTGATGGTCCATTTCTTAAAATATCACACATGAATCAAGGTTGTGATTTTTGTTTTAATATATAACTAGATCATAACCCGCCCGACTGGGCGGGTTTTTGTTTTTATGGTATATATAAATATTTTAAAAATTACAATCTTACGGTTCTAATTTTACTAAGTAATAGTATTCTGTTTAAACATTGTATTTCATCACTGTATTCTGTAACAGGACGTCGGTAAAATGTTGTGACCCATAAATATTTTAATAATATTTTATAAATTTTTTTTTTACTAAATTTGGTGCAAAGTTATAAACACTAAACAATTTAGTCAAATTTTTAAGTTCATTTTTTAATGAAGAATTGGAAGGCTAGACTGTTAAAAACTTATAACAATAGTCAATATAAATTATATAAATAAAATATATAGTATATTTGATTTATTCCAAATACATTTAAAACATGAGTACATATATTTATAAATAATTTTTAGAAATAAAGTAATATCAATGATAGAAAACCCAAAAACAATAATAATGATATTTGGGCCGCAGTAATTTTTAGTTTAATAAGTAAGCCCATTAGATTTGTAGGCTATCCTTGTTTCCAATCATCATAATTTTAAATACTTCATATTCATGTTTCCAAACACTTTATTTTTTGTACTTCAGATTTAATAGTATAGATATTCAAAATACTCTAGTTATTCGACGAAACAATTATTTCTATATGAAATGTAAGAAATTATGTTTTCTACATTTAAAAATGTTATATGCTGTTTCCAAAGAAATTTACCAATATGTCGAACGTTTGTGACTATAAATTGGAAAACAATCTACAAAAATATTTTCCCATAAAAAGTCTTTTTGAAAAAATATAAAACTGACCCCCAGATAATTAACTTCTCCATTGTGAACATTTGGGAGTGTTCTGCTTTTTTTCTTTTCCTTTGTTCCTGCTTTTTTTCTTTTCCTTTGTTCCCAGGGTTCACAAAGTTTATAATCCAGATTTATATGTACTTGAAATTTCAGCTCATTTTGGATTGAATAAGATTCAACTTCAAGTGAAAGAACTTTTTGGAAGTTCAAGTCAGGTAAATTATAGGGCTAGGCAAAATATCCGTAAATTTTGATTCGATTCCTTATCCATTTCGATTCGAACCGAAAAATCCGGATATCCATACTCTACGAAGCAAAGCAAATACTAAAATGTGATATCCGTAAGAGATGAAGCAAATAACAAATACTAATATTTTTAGGAACGAATATCCGATCCGATCCGTTATATACATATATATATACATATATTTAAAGAAGTATATATATATATAAGATATATAGATATTATATTTTATTTATGTTTTACAAGATTTTTGTAATAAAATATTATTATTTTCTATTATTTTGGATTTTTATTTATTTTTAAAAATTTATTTTTACGGATCGAATGAGATATCCGGTAAAATTCTAAAATTTTCCGGATATCCGGAATGGCAAATATCCAAAGAACTACGGATCGAATCGAACTGGATAATTGATTATTCGAACAAAACGGATCGAATCACAAATATCTCTGAATACCTGGATATTTGCTTTGTGACCACCCCTAGTAAATTATATGTATTGTCGAACGTATACATCAGATAGACGTAATACCAGTCAAACATGAAAAGGATATGTGACTTGTAATTTTTTAATAAATGTGTTATATGTGTGTGGGGGGGGGGGTATGTGATGTTTGCAAAATAATTTTAAAATAGTATTCGTTTAAAATATGATCTCAAAGCGTTATCATACAAACTGTATATATATATATATATATATATATATATATATAACTTTTTTTACACAACAAATTGTTCTTATATATAAATCAAAGATAGCAATTTAATTACATTGAAGTATATTTGTAAGGTTGTTGACTAGGCTTCTAGCTCAAGTGGTAAAAGATTTATATCTGTGAGTATCGTCACCTGGGTTCAAATCTCAGCCATTGGGGAATTAACATTCCGGCATTGTCAGGAATAGATAACCGATACGTGGTAACACGTGACTAGTCTGAATCACTTCTGTAATGCTAGGATATCTGTGTATAATTCAAAAAAAAAAAAATTTCAACTTTTACATTATTTTCTTTCGCCTCTTCTTGCTTCAACTTTAAAAATAATTGAAAAAAAACGCTGACGATCATTTGCCAAATTCCCTTTTGTGTTTTATATATTTATTTGAGTGACTCTTTTTTTTTGGTACGATTATTTGAGTGACTCTTAACTAATAATAGTACCCCCTTTCACAGGCTGAAAGGATTACAGACCAGTCATAATTGAATATTTAATTTAAAATTTTGATTTTCTTGTATTTAACCTCTACTTTTCTTTTCTTTGTTTTCCAGTTTATATTTGTTGAGACACTCATGTGAGCAAAATCCAAGTCTAGGGTTCGGAAAGTTGATTCATTTTGTACTTTGCAATCACAGCCTTGTAAATTAAACGTGTCTCGTATCAAATTAACCATTTGTCGTTTACCTGGAAGACAAAACCATCACGGAACAAGAAGCTCCTGATAGAGGCGTGGACCAGACGAGCGTTGTTGATGCTTAGGCATGTGGGCAAGTACCAGCGCTTGTCTCTATAATCACCACCATGTTCTTTCTTACATACAATAATTTATTAATTAATCCCAAAAATCACCATAAATATTTTTCTATAAAAACCAATCTTTGTGTATAATCCTTTATCATGTTCTTTGTTCATCATCAGCAAGCATAAAAATTCCTCTGGAAATCACTGGTATATATTTATTTCTACTTGTTTATTTCTTTATGGTATGCTTATTTGAAGATGATTTTATTAATAATTTCCAGAAATTGAGGTTGATTCTATGGAAACACCGTTGCTTTCGTCAAACGATGTTGACACGGAAGTTGACAAACCGAAGTTTACGGGTTTGGTTTCTACAATGAAATCAAATTTCTTCACGGATTTGCCTCAAAAGCTTCGATCTCACATAGATCCGGAAGACCCTTTTGATATTGATGTCTCCAAAGCTATAGGCCTAAAAAGAGGTAAGTATATCAAAAGTATTAGTTTATAAATTGATGAGATCTCACGAATAATGCTTTTCATAATACTTTTGATCTTTAAAGATGAGAAGGAGTACTACGAACGACAAATAGCAACACTAAAATCTTTTGAGGAAGTAGAAACTTTTGTATCTCGATCACAAGATTATGTCATAGATGAAAAAATCCAAGAAGAAGATCGAGCTGAGAGAGCTGCACAAGAGATAGCCATGCAAATCTCCAACTGGGCTAACATTTTTTTACTTTCTCTCAAGGTGTGACTTTCTGTTGAGTTATTATTACTTATTTTTTGACAAAGACCCTCTCTGTTGAGTTATTTTATACATTTGACTATGTTCATAAAGTGTTTTGTAATGTGTAGACATATGCTACTATAAAGAGTGGATCGATAGCAATTGCAGCATCGACACTTGACTCTTTGCTTGATCTAATGGCTGGTGGAATACTTTGGTTCACACATATATCAATGAAGAACATCAATATTTACAAATATCCCATTGGAAAGCTTAGAGTGCAACCAGTTGGAATCATCATTTTCGCAGCGGTTATGGCCACTCTTGGTATATAAATTTTATACATCTCAAAACTATATGTTATAAGTTTCTTGATGAAAAATGTAATTCTAAACTATAACCATGTGCATTTTTGTAGGGTTTCAAGTGCTGCTTGTGGCAGCTGAAAAATTGATTACAAATGAACCTCCAGAAACAATGAGTCATGACCAAGTGATATGGTTATATTCAATCATGCTAACTGCAACTGCTATTAAACTCATTTTGTGGATCTACTGCAGAAGTTCAAGAAATCATATCGTCCGTGCATATGCTAAGGTATATAAATGTGCACACATTTGTATAATTTCATGTAAAAATGGTCATTGTTTGATGAGTTTTTATATAGGATCATTACTTTGATGTGGTGACAAACCTTCTTGGACTTGTTGCGGCTGTTCTTGGGAATGCCTACTATTGGTGGATGGATCCGTCTGGTGCAATTGTTTTAGCCATATACACTATTGTCAATTGGTCTGGAACCGTTATGGAAAATGCTGGTACAATTTGCAATTCAGTGTTGTTTGTTTTCTTCAATCTTATAACATCAATTGAGTTTTCACTATCATTTTGTTGTACATATTTAGTCTCATTGATCGGACAAGCAGCTCCTCCAGAAGTATTGCAGAAGTTAACATACTTAGTATTGCGACAAGGCGCAGATGACATCAAACGTGTTGATACTGTCCGCGCCTACACATTCGGTGTTCTTTACTTTGTCGAGGTCAGTCTATATAAATATATATGTATATATATATCTTAATGTTGCAATCATATAGTTAGAAGTCAATTTCTGATTGCATCATAAATTTATATGCTTTGTATATGTGTATTTGGTGGCAGGTTGATATAGAATTACCAGAAGATTTGCCATTGAAAGAAGCTCATGCAATTGGTGAATCATTGCAAATAAAGCTCGAAGAACTACCAGAAGTGGAAAGAGCTTTTGTTCATCTTGATTTCGAGTGTAGTCACAAGCCTGAGCACTCTGTTCTTTCTACCATTCCAAACGATTTATGAGAATTATGTATATATTTATATATGTGTTCTTGCTTATTGTCTGCTTTTGCTTTTAATGGTTTTGTACTTTCTGACATCTGCAGTTTGAGGTCTTTCGTTTTGGATTTCTGTTTTAATAAACTAGTGGTTCGTTGGATACTAGACATTTTACGCTATTCGACTCATAAAACATATTATGTATCTAAAATGACATCTTTATAATAATATTTGACAACCCAGTTTTCTAGGTGTAGCTTTCACATTAATTTTTACGATTGTTTGATTATAGAGATACCTTTAATAAATGAAAAATTGTATATCTAACTGCCATTGTTAATTTTTAATTATTTTCAATTTATTTTTCTTTTTCTTTATTATCTTTCCAAATAATATATACTCCAATACAAGTAAACATTAACAATGAGCTATAAATTTTAAAAACGAAACTGTGTATCATAGATAATTTGATTTCATAAAAAATGAAAGTTCACAACAAAAATTTTATGAAAGAAAAAAAAAAATTTAAACGAAAATGTATCACATACATAATTATATTTCACAAAAATAATCTTAATATTAGAAACATATTCCTTTAAAACATACTCTTAATTAACATAATCTACTCTATTAAAATAGAGTCATTCTTTTTATCTACTGATACAAATTGTCATTTAAATTTGGACTTTTTCTAGAATGTTACAAATAATATAAGTCATATAATTGATTGAACTGTATTACTTAAATTAAACCAACAAAATTGATGTAAAAACACGACCTTAATGTAAACTACCTTCAAAATACGGCAGATATCTATGTGTATACCAAAAACACATATTTTCTCCTACAAATATGGAATATTCTAAAATAATATATATCATCAAAATATGGAATATGGAAATCTACTTATTATATTTAAATTAAACCAGTGGTTATTTATGGAATATAGTTTTGAGCTTACTTTTATTTTTTGAACAAATTATATAGTTTGGTTTTTGCGCTTAGTATTAAGAAAAAACTCCAAAAACATTGAATAAACTTTTCACCTTAAAAGATCAAAAAATCAATTATTATTTTACGACCCAAAAGGTATTTAATATTTTTAACTAAACAAAATTATTCATTATTAATCATTTATTTAAATCATGTACTTTAAAACATGTTAATATATTTTTTATTTTAAATAACAATCACTTTGTTTTGATAAATTTCAATGGTAACTTTTAAATAATTTATTATTTTACTTTTTTTAAATAATTTACTGATTAAAAAATGTAAAGCAAAACCAAAAACCAAATCTAAAAACTAAAATCCAAAACCGAAAGCTGAAAACACATATTATATTTTTTTTGCTTTGTTTATTTACAAAATAAACTATTTCAATTTAAAAAAAAAAATTGTTTTCATCTTTTCAGTTTTAAATTAGATGTTCGATTATTTGAGATTTGTTTGTTCGTAATATTTGTTCAAACTAACTCAGCGGGTTTAAAAATTAAAAACTCAAACCAAAAACTGAAAATGAAAAGTAGAAACTTAAAAACTAAAAACCAAAATCCAAAATCTAAAAATAAAAACTGAAACTAAAAACTAATGAAAAACAATCATCACTACAACTTCTGGTGAACTGATTTTATATCAAAATATTTTTTAAATTATGACAAAACCCAATTATATAAATTTTTAATCATAAAATTTTTTCTAAGAGTACTAATCTAGTATATATTTAAGAGTACTAACAATACTTTCTTTATATCGACCTATATTACCAGATGACCAAATTAACTTAGATAACATATCATAAACTGGAATTTCTTGAATGAGCTAAAAGTATTTTAAACTAATATTACTGAGTGTTTTACATATGTTTTTCATAATAATATTTTTTTACAAATTAAATTTGATTTAAAATTTCTTTATATTTTTTTATCAAACTACATAAATTAAAAATATGAATATATTTTAAAAGTATATAAATTGATTTGCCCTCTTAGATCTCAGGTAGATGGAAATTTCTTATAGAAATCATGTTATATTTTTCTTATATAACATGATTGCTCAAAAATAATTGACAAAAATTATTTGGGTATTTATTTTTAAAAATTAAAAAATAAATAAATAATTTTCTTTAATAAAGTTTTTTTCTCAAAAAATTCACAAAATTTGTTTTAATATTTATTTTAAATAATATATAATATATTTTAAAAAGTAATCTTAAGCAAGATAAAAATTATTAGAAAATAAAACTATTTTTATAAAAAGTCTATATTAATAAAATAACTACAGAAATATTTATATATATTAGAAATCAGTATAGTTTAGCAAACTATAGTTATTATACATTACCATTATCAAAACTTTTTTTTGCTTAATCTTTATTTTGATTTTAAGTTTTAATTTATATTTGTACCACCCAACATCTCCTTAATAAGAATACACAAACTAATCTAAATTCATATGTTTAAAATTATTAATTTAGTTTTAAATTTATTGTTTATACATCAAAAATATAAATTAATTAAACTTTAAAAATATTTTACGTATATTGTAAATATTGAAAGCCATATTCATTAACTTTCGAAATTATACTCGTTATGTTTTTCATGCAATTTCATATAGATCATCACTTTAAACTTTTTTAAAATCAACATCAAATATACAAAAAAAAATTAAATATATTTACACATCGTAGATGAAAAATAAGATCGTGCATTTAATAAAACTGATCTTATTTGGTTAATTTAGAACAAGAATATATGTATTTCAGATTAAATAAATATACCAATAAAATGAACAAATGAACCAATAAAATATTTTACACCCCAAATTAAAAATCTAACTATAACAAAAAATTATAGTAATAACAAATAGTAGATGCAATATAATATTCCAAAATACTAATTAAACCGAAAAATATGTCTAAAATCACATGTGTGATTAAAATAACATAATATTATACAAGATCATACATATAAATCACAAAGTAAATTTAAATAAAATTGTAATAAGTTATTATGTACTATTTATTTTGTTGATATTTATACGTATCTGCATGAACACGGAAAAATCATCGTGTCATAGCCTTAATTCAAAACTCTACGTATGTGGGAGAAACTTCTTTTTCAAAAGTTCCCATTTAGGGGAGATAATTTTGATTCCAATTACGTTTGTTGATTTTTTTTTTCAGTTTATTCATGCATTGATTATCAACATTTATTCATATATCTTACGTTTATGGGAGCTGATAAAAAAAATTGATTTTTGTTTGTTGATTTTGTTTCCACATGTCCATGTATTTCAGGATTAATCATCTCAAGCTTTTAGCATATATCCAAATTAGAACAAATCTTTCTTGTGTGGCATACATGAATATCAAAAACAAGGATAATCACGTTGCTGCAGTCCCAATCTTTGGTCTTCTTTTGATTTGAGTAGTTATCTGCTCTTGACAAATTTTAAGTTATAAAATGCAAGATTTTGGTTATGTAATTGATGATCAAAGAGATGTATTAAAAAAACTTTTTTGAAATGTTTACATTCATTGTATTTTATTACGTGCTCATAAATCTTACAGATTTTTTCTAAAATACTCCAAAAACTAAAATTTTATGATATATACACCATTTTATGTATGTTTATTTAATCATTTACCTTGCTTTCTTTCCATTATATTCTCTTGCTTACATACGCCTCTCATTATTTTCAAGTTTAACTATACAAATAAATTATTTAAATATCTTGATATAATAATGTAAAACTAAAGTTGTAGAGACTAATAACGAAGTTCTAAAATCCACCAATTAATACTAAGTACTAATTAACTGATTCTTACTATGTGTAAATGTGTAATATATTAACTCAGTAGTTGGTCAGATGTGGTAAACATTGTTTGAATTATTATCTCTAATCAATAAATTGATGAAAGAGCTACATGTAGAATATATTGTTCTAGTGTTAACAGTAACAATGACACAGATTTTTCTTGCAAAAGCCACCCTTCCCATTGTCACAACCTTTAAGACACCAACTGTTGCAGCTGATATCCTTAGTACATACTCCAAACTTTGGGTGATCGTTGCAACACAATGAACCTTCTTTGTTGGAAGTCCAAACAGAATCTTCACTCACCATTTTTGTGGATTCAACACCTATAAAACAACACATATCCAAGATTTTGATTTTGAATAGAAAACGATTTGGAAAAACCTCAGTTCTTCACTATTTTGGTCTTAAAAACTAACCTGCAAGCAAAACGAAAAGAGAAATGAAAGCAAAGAAAACAAATCTTAAATAAATCATTTCTATCTTTTAACTTTATAAGGGTATTCTTATTATGACTTATGAAATGTAGATTGGCTATATGTTTGATATATATATAGGGTTTTCCATTGTTTGCTGCATTATATTGTACATTAAAGACATAAATATTCGGTAACGTTTTTTACATTTTTATAAAGCACATCAGCAAAATTTGGTGATGTTTTTCATTATGAACATTAATTAGAGAAAATAAAAACTGGAAATGATTACATTTATGGTGTATTTATTGAGTGATCGTCGAGCATACAAACATAAGATTTTTTTCTAAAACATTCCAGTTACTAAAACTCTGTGATATATATACCTCTAGTAGGCTAGTAAGTATATCATTTTACACTGCAATGATTATCCGGTGATCATGCATGGTTATAAATATTTATAAAATCAATTTATTTTAATATCAAATTGACATTTACTTATATTTATAAACTAATTATGTATAGTTTATGTTAACAATATAATATATTTTAATTAGACATCGAATATATAAATTAATTAAAATTTAAAAATATTTTACTTATATTGTAATTATTGAAAGCCATATTCATGAACTTTCGAATTATATTGGTTATGTTCTTTATGAAATTTCATAAATATCATCACTTTAATTTTTCGTAATTTTTAAAAATCAACATCAAATATAAAAAATGAAAATATATACACATCATAGATGAAAAACAAACTCGTGCATTGAATAAAATTGATAT